GGGCATAACCAGGCCATAACATATGTTAAGGCTTACATGCTAATACATGGTTCCCATTTTTTCAGTTCAATTCAGTTTTTGTTTATTTGCTTTTTCCAATTCTTAGAAGTATCAGCTTTTGTTGGACAGGAGACAGGTTTCTGCTTCCACATATATAATTGAAACAGGAAGATTAAGGAAGCTCTACTGGGTATGGCCTGCTGACAGAGCCTGGCTATAGTTTACTTGTGGGGTTGGTTGACATTTATTCATTTCTCTGCACAGGATCCATGGGCCATTTCTCTTTTATAATGAGTTAGGCTTATTTCTTCTAATTTCAAAAACTTGGAAGATGTTTATATCACTGGACTGGATAGTAAAACATATTGGCATGCATTATCTAAAACCTAAAGTGCATTTTTCAATTTAGCTGAACAGATGGCCGAGGAAGACGCCCCTCTCATTCCAACTGTTGTCATATTTTGTTTTTGTTTTTTTTTGTTGTTGTTGTTGTTGTTGTTGTTTTCACAATTGTCAATGGGAACAAGTATAATTTTGTGTTGAATTACCATTATGCTTATTGCCCCATAAGTGATACTTTTCCCATCTTTCTATGGACCTGCCGTATACCTTATTTTAAGTAAGTTATCTATTGTTGGCAAGGAGTAATGTAGAAAACTAGAACAGACACACTGATTCTTAGGATATAAATTGTTGCCGACATTTGGAAGGCAATTGACCACATCTTTGAAAGTTAAACATGAATGCATACTGTAAGCCAGCACTTTCATTATTGAAATACATCTTATAGAAAAACCTCCTGAATGTTCCTAAGGGCATACATATATATAGTTATTGAAATAAGGAATTAATTAGTAATCCATTAATTGAAACACCTAGCTAAGTAAGTTATTTACTTTATATACAAATATTTTTTAAAAAATGGAGAGTACACAGAAAGCAATCAGTGAATACATTATCTCTGAAAACCATGTACTATGATGCTGTACATAAAACTAAATCCCTCTTCTATTACCTAAAATTGTTGCTCCTCCCAAAGAGGCAACAATTTTACTCTCTATGTGCCAAGCTAATAATCTTTTTTTTTTTCTATTTTTAACATTTATTCTCTTTAGCATGGCTTAAACTATTCAGGCTGCTATAATGCAGCCCATAGGCCAAGAAGCTTGTGAACAATAAAAATATGTTTCTCTCAAGGATAGAACATAGGTTAGCAAAGATCAAGGTCCCAGCAGATCAATCTCATTAAGCCCTGCTTCCTACTTCCTAGCCCATCTTCCTTACTACTGTAACTGTGCATGGATCATCTATCTAGAGTCATTTTACAATGTCTTTATTCAGAATGTCTTTATCACATAGAAGTTGATAACATTGACATCAGATTTGTCAACCATTTTCCTATGGCCACTCTGTGCCTTATTTAATATGGTTTATGCCACCGAAGTAATAAACACAGTCATATATTTCCTACAATCACTTTCATTACTTAGGTTTTTGACTAAAGCTGATTATTACATACAGGATTTACTTTTTGTGGGTAGTGTATAGTCAAAATATCGCCTATTTTTGTTTTCTTTTAAATAATTTATTCAAAACTGATTGTTGAATATTTTGTAGGTTTTCAAAATGATTTATGATTACCACTTTGCCAAACAAATGTGGTGGGGAAAACTCTAATGTCTCACTCTATCACCCAAATCCAATAAACATAGAAACCAGTAAAATAACTGGAGTTAAAAACCTGATTTATGGGCTAGACTTATTGTCAACTTGACACAACTAGGAATCAGGAGCTTTGACTGAGAAATTGCCTTCATCAAATTGACCTCTAAGCATATCTACTGTGCATTTTATTGATTGTGAATTGATATAGAAAGTCTCAGTCTACTGTGGGCTGTGACATTCCTGGGAAGGTGGGCTTGAGCTATGTAAGAAAGGTAGGCAAGATACCCCCTGATTCCTGGGTGTAGGAGATGTTGTAGATCTACCAATTGGGGTTTGTTACCCCAAAGTTAGTCATTCTTAGCACTCAACAAGTTGTGGATTTCTGTAATGGTCTTTATCCACTGAAGAAAAAAGCTTTCATGATAAGAGGTGAAAATCACACTTAATCTCTACATACAAAAGTAATACTTAGAATACAGTTTTAAATTATGCTCATTTAAGAAAATGGTAATAGTTTTCCCTCTAGAGTCTGTAACCTCAGGAGTCATGAGCAATAGACTATAAAGTACCAAGCATGGATTACTGAGAGGGCCTTAAAACCAACTGGACAGCTGTTGATTAACCCCAAGATAAAAGTCCCAAGTGCACCATTTGGGATATCTTGTCAAGCTGGCTAGGATTACTGATATCTTTTCTCCCACTGCATTTTCTTGCATAGCTTTCTAATATTATGAAAGCTAGCTTTCATGGAGTAGGCCTCCAAGACAGTTCCAGCTTGATTTCTCTAAAGCCTGTGTTCAAAGTGTGTGGTGTTTTTTCAGCAATACAATTTTGCCTTCATTTTCTGGGAGTCAACCAAGTGCAATGTCAGTAGACTATGTTGTTTTAGGAGCACTCCTGACCAACAACTTGAAGTGAAGTTTCTCATGTCTGGCTCATGGAATTTGGGTAAATAGTCTGGGACTCTTAATTCATCCTGTGTGATATAACGCCATTTAAACTAAGTGTATATTATATGTGTGTTTTAAGTAAAATTATAAAATAATGCTTCCTTATGGCTTTTAAAACATACTTAGTACCATTTATCTCTCCTTACTTTTTCTCCCTCTGTATTACTCTCTCTATTCTCTCTCCAGCAAATGTTTCCCCCATTTTCCCCATTCCTTTTTAAAGCACCTGTGCCTTACTATATCCCTCTCTAGATCACTTTTTCCATCTCTACCCAGCTCCCTTTTCCTTCCCTGGTTTCTGTGGTTACTTCAGGTTATATACTAACATCTAAAGATTCGGATCTAGGATCCATAAGCAAGAGAGAACATGTAGGATTGTCATTCTGGTTACCTCACTCAGTACAATATTTTGCAGATCTATCCATCCATCTATCTATCCAACTATCTATCTATTTATGATAATTTCATCATTTCATTCTCCATTACTTATGAATAGTATACTATTGTATATATGTACGGAATCTTCATCAGTTTAAGGACATTTTGGTTGTTTTCATTTCCTAGCTACTGTGAATAAAGCAAAAATAAATGTGGGTGAGCAAATATCTGTAGAATAGTGTATTGATTCCTTTGTGTATATGTCAAGGAATGCATCGTGTGCTTTTAGTTTTGTGACAGTTCTCCACTCTCGTTTCCAGATTTGCAATTCCATCAACAATTAATGAGACCTACTCCTTCCCTGCATTCTCACCAGTATTTGTTGTCAGTTGTTTTCTTGATCTTAGCCATTCAGACTAGTAGAAGATGAAATCTCAAAGTAGTTTTAATTTACATTCCCCCGATTGCTAAAGATGTTGAACACTATTTCTCAGTAACTATTATTTCTTGTTTTGAGAATTCTCCATTCAGTTCCATAGCAAAGTTTAAAATTGAGGATTGTTTTTATCCTTTATTGTTGTTGTGTTATTTATATATTCCAGATACTATTCTTCTGTTTGGATGTATACTTTGGAAAGATCTTATTCTACTCTGTGGTCATCTTCTTCATTCCATTGAGTTTCTTTCATTGTACAAAATCTTTTTACATCAATGTTGTCCCATTTGTCAATTTTTGGCTTCAGTTCATGAGCAAATGGAATGCTCCTCAGAAGTCCTTTACTTATATGGTACTGCTTAAGTCTTATCCTAATAGTTTTAGCATTTCTGGTTTCATGTTGTGGTCCTAGAGTAGAATTGTTTATAAGGTGATAGATATAGGTCTAATTTCTTGTGGAAACTCAGTTTTCCCTCCTTTTCAACATCCCAGTCAAAGAAGCTGTCTTTCCTCCATTTTTGTCAAATATCAGATGGCTGTAATTAAGGACACTCATGTTCGAGTCCTCTATTGTATTCCATTGATCCACAATGACTGCTTTTGTTCCACGTTGCTATATTACTATAACTATAACATATCTTAAAATCTGGAATAGTAATCCAAAATTGGCTTTTTCTCCTTCAGGATTGCTTTGGTTATCTAGTTTCTTTTGTGTTTCCACATGAAATTTATGACTTTTTCCTATCTCTTCGAAGGATGTCATTGGGGATTTAGATTGGGATTACATAGAATTTTTAAATTGCTTTTTGTAACATGGTTGTTTTCATTATTAATTCCACAAATCCATGAGCATCTAACTATCTTCTAGTGTCTTCTTCAATCTATTCATTTAGAGGCATAAAGTTATCTTTATAGAGAACTTCCACCATCTTTGTGAGATTTATTCCTAGATTTTTAAGACTATTGTGAATGAGAGTGTTTCCATGATCTCTTTCTCAATATAAGGATCTAAAGTTGGAGGTCAACCTGGACTACAGAGCAAGACAATGTCATGAAAAATAAAATAAATAAATACTATAATAATATATGATAGTCTTTGTTGTGCCATTGAATTGTATCTTTATTCCCTATGCTGTTTGTAAAAAAAGAGAAAGAAAAAGTGTGAAGGTAGAAAATGTTAGCTTTTATTGAAAATGCATAAATTTGGAGTGTTCTCAAGGGTACGAACATCAAGAAGACAGAAACAATAACAATGGAATTCAATTAGACAGTAGAAAAATTATAAATCTATTCAACAATAAACTCATGTAGAACAAATATTGTAACTTAAGAAGGTGACAGAGAAATATAGTTCACTACCAGATTGTGTCTTCTGTAAACTGTTCATAATTTATACTTATAAAGGAGAAAAATATGGAAATATTTAAAGTGAAATCAAAAGGATGAGATTCAATGGGCTCTAGAAGATGTAAAAGCTCGTACAATATGAAGAAATCATTTTTGTATATGAAATAAATTTCTAGGCCTGCACAAATCCAAATGAGTCCATCCTTTTTAGAAGGAGAGTAAGAATGAAGGCCTTTAAGGCAGCAGCAGATGGCCAATTGGCCTATGGGTAAGTCTAGGGAATCATAATGGCCTAAGATGAAAAGGATTTATGTGATTAATTATCTCTGCAACAGAATAAAAGATATAAACACACCAAAACTCTAAGTAACTTTAACACATGGAAAAGCAGACTCAGTTTGGATGGTAGGAGTAACCAGTACCTTCTCAATTGTGGGGATGATATGCCACATCTGGATTCTGCTGGTTTGTAATAAGAATATAAAGTACTCAGAAACTCAAATGATCTACTGAGGTCATCAATTAATCAGTTACACAAGAAGTATTTCTTGAAGGGGAAAAAAGGCATTACAAGTCCATTAAAACTTAAATGCTATGAAATTTAAAGAAATTATTGAGGAACATAATTTTGAAAAATAAATATTTCTTTGGAGTATTTCTTAAAGATGCTTCTCTCTCTCTCTCTCTCTCTGTGTGTGTGTGTGTGTGTGTGTGTGTGTGCCTGTGTGCGTGCATGTGTGTGTGTGCTTTCATGAGTTTCTGTGTATCTTGTGTATGCAGGTTCATGCAGATGCAGTGGATGTCAGATCTCCTGGAACTGGAGTTACCAGCATTTGTGATCTACCTGATACCTGATATGAGTACTGAGAAACAAAACTCCCGGTCATCTGAAAGAACAGTAAGTGCTATGAACTGCTAAGCCATCGCTCTAGTTCGTGTCTCAAGAGTATTGCTAAATTTATCTTTTGGCATCTTAACGTCAGGGAATATGGCTTTAGTTCAGCTAGGAAAGTTTTACTGAATGCAGCAGTAAAACTTTCCACCTGGGCAAGCCAATATGCCAAGAAGCCACTATTCACCTCAACCCTTCTTTTCTATGGTAAAGGGACAAGAAAGAACTGCATGAACATCAAAGAAAAGCTTATCGTAGTCAGTAAATCCCTCAGAGCTCTACAGATATATTGAAATAAAGCACTGTCCAGATTCATTTAATGAATTTCCCAATATGCAATAATTAAGTACCAAAAACTCCAGGGGGCCAACAAGCCATTATGAACAGATTTGAAATCGAGGGGAAAATATTTGGTAATAGAGACACAAGTTAGTTGCAGAGTAATTACTTCCTAGTACTGGAGAGGAGTTTTTAACTAGCCTGTCACCACCACACCCCCATGCACTGCTATGTCTTAAAAAAACAAAAAATACAGGTGATTTATGTTGTTCTGTGTCACAAGCAAAGCAGGTTATTTGTTACAGATGGCTGCCACACTCATGCCTGCAGCATTGGACAGTTTGAGCAATGGATGGATGGATGGATGGATGGATGGATGGATGGATGGATGGATACCTAACAAGATTCTGGGCTTTAATGCTCAACTTTATGAAATTATTTATTTAGGAAATAAGTTATTCATATGATCCTACCAGCCCTGAAGAGGATGATAATGTATTGTGACAAACACAAAATCACTCACAATAAGGCCAGTCCTGTTTTCTTACTTCTATTCTGGCAATGCTAGTGGATACATAGCTAAGAACATCAGAAGTAAAATTGGATGAACTCGTGTTTTCTCATGAGAATCGAATTTAAACAGAGGGACCTGGGGGCCCATGTAGACATGGCAGGACCACAACAGAGTCAGACTACAACGCCAGTTCCATGAGAGCCTCCCTAAGGTCCTAGATCATTCATTCCTGCCTCCCAGAAGCATGACTGCATAGCTGCTTTTTAAATTCTGTGAAGTAACTCCATTTTCTGCCTGAGTTAGTCAAAGTCATTTTCCTTCCATTGGTTGCAATAAAATGAACATCGCCTAATATATCTGCCCAGTGTAAAATGTCATCATGAAACAATGTGAAATATAAATGGGTGTGAATCTATAAAACAGATGGACATATTGCACAAAGTAAACTGCCTCATAACTATAGGTTCATTTACAAAATTAAGAAATATACATTAGTCTTAACCACTCTTTCTTTCAAATATATTCATATTTCTTGAAATTAAAATATAAGTAATTTATATCCCCTTTTGATCTTTCCATATACCCCCTTGCTTGCTCTCTCTCTCAAATCCAGGCCTTCTATTTCTTTAAATATATATTATATATAATACATATATAATACATAGTGTATATATAAAGGGAATCCAACACCCTCTCCTGTTCTCTATGGGAAGCAGATGCATATTCAGTATACATACATACATACATACATACACACACACACACACACACACACACACACACACATAGGCAAACATTCATACACATAAAACAAAAATAAACTTTTCAAAAGCTTAATCTTTTAGACATTTGTTTTTAAAAAGAAAGTTGTTAACAGATCAATAGATACACATAAAGCAGATGTTTACTTTATTCTGTGGATCTAGCTCTTCACCAAGGATTAATTAAACTAATTCTTCAAAGCTTAGTGTTTATGTCTTATAAAAATGATGTTTAGCAAAGGCTTGCTACCTGGAGTTTTGCAGTCATGTGGATAATGCCAGTGTATAAGAAATGAGCTGAGTTCTAAGCCGGAAGATAACTGGGGAAAACACAACTAAATTGAAATGCCACATCATTTTTAGTTAATTTTTTAATAGATGTTTTTCTTTATTCAAGATAAGTTACATAGTGTAGCTGACATGGACTTGTGTCAATTCACTGTACATCATACTAGCAGAAGCACACCTTACATGATGACAAACTTTTAGAGACAAAGTTTCAAAGATATAGCCATTATGCTATTATATTTCCCAGGAGTTCCTTGGCAAAAATATTTCAGTGAATACATAGAGTATATATAGAATAAGATTCTTATGATACTTTAAAAAATCATATCAGCATTTTGAAATAAGAACTCATCAAAATTAATATCTAAGGAATTTATACACTTACTATAATGTTGAATCTTCTGTATATTTGTTTTTAAGTGAGCATTTTGCGATAATTGCCTTGAAGTAGAGGCTTGTCACTTCTTTGTGGGTTATACTCTTTAACCCAATTAAAACTAATTTTCTTGAGTCCTAATTTCACTTCTCACGTGTTCTGATTTACTGGTATTGCTGAAGTACACTCATTATTCATTAGCAGAACTTACTTACATTTCATCATGATAAATCTTTTATTCATATAGCTTTTAAAACCTTGATAATAGAAAAACAAATGCAAAAATCTTTGTTTATTTTGTTCAGTTTTCAAATTTTACTTCTTCAAAAAATGAGGAATTGGAACTTTTTCCTAATTGTTAAGTGAGATAAAGAATATCTTATCTTCTGAAAAGATTATATAATACTATATAATAACATTTCTGGGTTGTGTTCACAAAAAAAAGCAAGTTGATATGACATAATCTGCCCATTATATGCCATGTACATCATTTGTTTTAGACACAGGGCACTGAGTCCTTTGCTGGAGGTTGACAACTTAGAAATCCTAGCATTCTTGCCTGTCAGAGATCCTGTCCATCAGTAAAATGGCCTGTGGGGGAAGGAAGCTGCCACACCCAGTCACACTTGATTTCAGAGTTCTCAGCCTATCCAGCAACAAACCACACATGGTAGAGAGTAGAGTCCAAATGAAGAAGTTGTACAGTTGTGAACAGCTTCAGAATTCTGCACATCTATGGTAGTACTCAGGAAAGGAGACCACTTCTCCTCAGCACAGAAGTTAGGACCACTGCCACTGGGCTAGGCATAACCCAAGTTTCCTGACATTAAAAGTCCTCAGTGTGTTTCTTAAAGTGCTGCTTCATTGTAGTGAGCAATCTAAAATCTGAGGTATGATGAATGAAATCAGCTTAATATCTGGACAAGAAAATCAGCAATTTAGATGAAGCTTTCAGCAAAAATATAGTGATTCCTTTTTAAAAGAGGGGTGGGTAGAGCATGTTGGGAATGAAAAGTTCAATAAACCAAATAATAAAATCAATGGAAAGTGTCACCAATTCATTAGATTTATTGAAAGAACATATGAGTTGAAGATATAAGTTAGGAATTACTACATTCATAAGAAATACTGAAGAGGCTACCATAAAATACAAATTCCAAGGCCTTGCAGGCATGATTCTGAGGTGAAATCTATGAAACTTTGGTGTATAAGAAGGAGCCAATACACAAACTAAAAGTATACAGAGAACTATTTGATTAAATTGTGCATAAAAATCTCCAAACATACAAAACACATGAGCATATCTGGGAAGCCTAGCTGGAAATGGTGGCATATACCTGAAGTCCTAGCACTTGGAGGCAGTAGTGGGAGAATCAAGACTCAAGGCCATTCTCAGTGAAATATTGAATTTGAAGCCCTGCTGGGCTATAAAGATCCTGAATCCAATAAATAAATAAATAAATAAATAAATAAATAAATAAATAAATAAATAAATAAACAAACAAACAAAAATAGGAAAAGGAAGAATCTAAAGTAAGTATGACCATAAAACAATCTCTAAACATGATAGATGTAATGAGTATGGTTTTTCCTCCCGCCGCTGGTCTTGTCCTGCCACCACGCCAGCCCCAAATAATGCACAGAGACTCTGTATTTGATATTATGCTGTTGGCTAGTTACTTATTTCTTATCGGCTAGCTCTATCTTAAGTATTAACCCATTTCTATGTATTTCCACGTGGTCTTACCGAGAGCGGGGAAATGGCGGTTCTGTTCTCTCTAGACTCTCTATCTTGACTCCACCTTACTACTTCCTCTTTCCTCCTTGTCTCCTAGTCCCTCCTATCATCCTTTCCTATTGGCCAACAGTGCTTTATTCATTAACCAGGATGAGAAACATATATACATAATGGCATCTCCCATCATCTCCTCTTTTCTGTCTAAAATAAAAAGAAGGGTTTCAACCTTAGCATAGCAAAATATATAACACAACAGTTATCCAATAAGAATCACAGTCAACAATATTAAGTCCATTAATATTTAGTAAGATTTAAAAAATATTACATCATCTATTCTATCTTTGTGAGTCTAAAGTCATATATGTAACTTATCTTTAATCTTAACTAAGGAAAACTATAACCATAACTATCTGTCTTCAACTCCTTCAAAGACCACAGAAGGATAGTATATAAACTTTAGAAATGAAAGAGACATCTTGCCTTGTCAGTCACCTGAAGTTCTTCTGTAATCTTCCATCTTCAGCCCATAGACCATAGTGTGTCTGACAGACTCTTCAGCAAAGTAGGAAACCTTAAACTGTCTTTTTATTTTTTATTTATTATATTTTTATTTTATTTTATTTTATATAACAAAGTCCATTTAAATGAAAACAAACATTTATAGACAATATTTGGGAATTTGGGCATCGTTCTTTCCAAACTACTTCCTGCTGGTAAGGGGAACTGTCATGGGAGATTCGAAGAAGATTCAGAAATCCTGGCTGTAGTCTGTAGGGATGCTTTGTCCAGCTGTTTTGAATGTAGGATCAGCTTGTACTCTGTTTCAGGTGGTCTGGCTTGATCAAACCACATTAGTCTAGAAGGAATCCACATCTTTTCATTTTCTGTGGAAACAAAAATAGAAATCCTTTTCCCCAGTAACTTGTCCTTGAACTTAAATTTTGGAGTCAAAGCATTTTTTTTAATTTAATTTATTTTACATGTCGATCCCAGTTCCTCTCCCTCCCTCCCTCCCTCCCTCCTTCCCTCCCTTTTACCCTCTCTGCCCTC